CAACAGTTCCCGAGTTACCTGGGTTCCTAAGCAGGTTGATCACACTGCATCCATGGGGTTTCCTCTGCCTCAGGAGAACCAGCACCGAAAGGCAGAGGACATTGCTGCCAGCAGCACTTCACTCCAGGCTGTGATTCAACCAGAGGTTTTAACTTCCTAATGGCTTCGCCAAGTTTAAAAGTCCAGTGATAAATCTATTTGTTCTCTACTTGGTATTATGCATTGTGCAACCTCAAGTACAAACCACTCAAGAAACTGCAGATCCAGACCTTCCACCATGGAAGGCAGTTTGGCTACCACCAGTTCGCTACATCTGTTAAGAAATGTCTTCTTCCCTCCAGTTACACAATGCCTCCTAGTCTCTTTCTTGCTCTGAAGATTGGGACTGCCTTCCAAGTTCAACATCCAATTAGGTGTCTGGAGCTCACAGGCTGAAGGGAAGAGAGTTAGGAAGGGTGCTCTCCACAAAATTTAGAGGGAGGTTTTCCTCAAGCCTTTTAATCCCACCCACTTTGGATTGGCACAGGAAGTGATTACTACAGAGCTTGTCTATGGGTCCCAGCATGAGGGGTGCATTCTTTCCCAAGATACATTCTTTTCTTGGCAGTAGCTCAGCTCTGAGCAAACGTATTTATTTAGGCAGCACTTGAATGTGGCTGCTAGTATGTTTCCGCTTTACTATTTCCATAGCACCCCCCAATAGGGGGCTATTTTACAATACTACAGATGAAAAAGTAGGTTCTTAAAATTTTGGAAAATTCTCCTGAACCTCTTGACCTTCTTCATCGAACTACATTGATGTTTTCCAGAAATGAGCTTATCAAATTTGGGACTATATTCTGGTATATACCTCTTACCTCTGGTCTGTCTTACTGTATTGGAGGCAGGATGGGGTGAGAAAATAATAAACCTATTATTAATACCTTTAAGAGGCAAACTTTGTAGGGGCTGATTTTGTTTTCCCAAAAACATTATCATCAAAATACAGGTGTAGGGCTCATTAGGGCTCCCTAGCCCAAAACAAGACTTTTTCCCATACCGTCCTTATCCAACTGTAGTAAGCTAAAGTTTGCCCTTATAGATGCATTTCTTTGCATTGGCTAAATGGTTTTAGCGGCATAGCCTCTACAACCAAGTAAATAACTACTACTTAATAAAAAGGAGCCTGGAACTCAAGAGGATGAGCTGCAGAAATCTCTAAGAACTGCAAATTATATATACATTTTTTTAAGAGACAAGAGTCTTGCTCTATTGCCCAGGCTGGAGTGCAGTGGTGCCACCTTGACTCACTGAACCTCCACCTCCATTTCAAGTGATTCTGGGGCCTCAGCCTTGAGCAGCTGAGACTATGGTGTGCACTGGCTAATTTTTTGCATTTTTCGTAGACATGGGGTTTCACCATGTTGGCCTGGCTGGTCTCAAACTCCCACCCTCAAGTGATCCGCTCACCTTGGCCTCCCCAAGTGTCGAGATTACAGGCGTGAGCCACCATTCCTGGTCCAATTATTTCTTACACCACTGCCACCCCCCAGTCATGGTCATCTGTGGCTCTGATTCCCTTTGGTAAAACACGTGCCAAAACCATGATGTAGTGAAATAAATTTCCTGGCTGGTATCTCTGGGCTGACACCCTGTCACTTTCTAGCACTCTTGGGAAATTAACTTGAGACCCAATGTTTTCCATCTGTAAGACAGTGATACCATCAACCTACCCTTGCAGGGAAGTGCCTGTGACTAAATATACTTTATGTCACAAGACTATTACAGTATCTAGTACTTAGGGATAGACTTATGTTGGCAACTCAGTAACAACTGATAAGAACACAGAAAAGAACTTTGTGCTAATACTGTTAAACTTCATACTCTTACATTTAACACTACAGTATGATAAATTCCTTGTCAACTTTTACTGGTTTTGCCAAGAATTGTGGCTCTGGCTGAATTTCTACTCCTGCTTCTATTCTTGTATCAGTAAATGAAAAACACAAGCTACATATAACAAAGGTTCTCCTCTAGGTCTGGGTATAACAGCTGAAGCTAATCAGGAAGAATATTTGCAGAATAACTCCAATTAAAAAAGACAAAATGTGTATTTTACTTGCTTAGATTTGGGAGCATAATTGCTCACACGGATTCATAGATTTTTTTTTTTATTGTTAAGCTGCAACATACATGGTTTAATACAACAACAAAAAACATTTAATCAAGTGAAACGTAATAAACCAAACAATAAACACTCAAAACATTTTCCATTGGAAATATGTAAAGACGAATATGAGGTTCTGTTACCATCTTACTGCAATTTTCTTATGTGTTACTAGCCTACATACCCCGTGTTTTCTGTAATCATGCAGATGTGAATGGAAGTTTGAATGATTAAATAAATGAGAAGTCCGTTTACTGCAGGGAATCATTTCACAAGGCAGCCAAACTGAGTTTAGAGAACACAACTATTCAAGAAATTCTCCACGTATTTAGGTTCATTTTAGAATCCATGAACCTTAAGCTGTTCCTCCTTGACAATGCCAACCTGCAAAATAAAATTTAATTTAGCAAAATAACCCTGAGAATTATACAAATTCATTAGGAAGACACGGAAGAGTAACTAAAAAGAATCACTATTAGCAGCTTATTGCAACACTGTTATGTGTGGCATGCACTGTTGATAACCAACAATTCAATATATATTTGAATACTTTACATGCCAAGAAATATCCTGCGTGTATATACAGACATGATCAGAATACTCTAACGACAAAATAAACCAGATAAAGGTCTTTGCTTTCCCACTAAGTACCATATCTTTATTTCACCTAATTTACTTCATTTGTATGATTGTTACGTAGTGGAAAACGAATCATGTTGCCTTTAAATGCAATTTTAAAAGCAATCTCAAGGTTACACATAAAGCACCCAATCACTCACCTCCAAGAGAAACTGGCAAATGTTTTTTCTTTGGTCACCTTGAAGCTGAATAACCTCTCCGTATTCGGGATGTTCAATCACAGTACCATTACAGGCAAATTTCTGGAAGAGTGCATAAATATACAATAAAATTTAGTCCAACTACTATGAGGTTTTATTTCACCAAAAGAACAGAATTTACCATTTCAGTAAGCTTGATTTTATTTAGAGAAACAGATTGTGTCTCCTACAATCCACAATCCTTCCAAATTAATTTGTAAATCAGGAAATGATTTTATGTGTAGCATCAAAAACTAAATATTTCACATTTAAATTTATGTGAAATCCACGCAAATCTTCTTTTAAAATGAGAGGCCACACTGGGAGAATAACTAAATATTTATGTGTTAATTACAAGAATGAGAACAACCTTTTCGGTCTAGTCATTTTCATCCGCTGATATAAAGGTGTGAATCATAATCCGGTTCAGAGGTGCGCCTCAGTAACTCTATTCTAATCCTTTTTTCCTAATCCTTTTACCTTTTTGAAAGCTTTCACAAGTTTCTTTTTGTCATAATCATCTGCAATGCCCTGAACAGTAGTCAGCGTCTTTCTGCCGTTCCGTTGCTGGATTCTTATATGAATGTAATCCTCAGTCCCTGCCGGGAGTAAGTCGTCACCCTTAGTTGCATCAGCAAAGGGGTCTGCAAATGGATACAAAAAAGAATCCAAAGTAGAATAATATTTTTTAGGGAAGTACTTTCCAGAAATATGTTATAGTACCAATCCAGACAGTCATCAATGAAGGTTCTAGTGCCTTTGCTATTTTTGCGGGTAGGAATGAAGATGAGGGTGGTGTATTAATACCCCCAAGGTACTCTCAGAAAAAGAGAAAAACATTTGAACACCTACGTCCGTTGTAGAAAAACGCTGTTATAGACAGATAATGTTATCGTTGAACATGGTCCTCTAATGAGAGAAAGGAGATTTAGAAAACCTTAATTTTATAGCCGCCATAAAAACGTGCGTCATCTCGATTACGTTCTGATGAAAACATAAACATTCGAATATGCCCACCCCAATCATTTAACCGTAACTGTGCCTTGCCAAAAAAAAGTAGATTAAACACGTATATCAAAAGGCGTCATTTTACAACTCTCTACGCAAGCAGAGAAGACTGAACCACTGCCCGGTGACAGATGAGAGGCCTGCATCCGCAGCCTTCCCCAAGCACCCCCGGGAGCTGCGGAGAACGGACGGCGATCCCCAGTCCCCCTGGCCCGGCATCGCCTTTGCAAGCAGCAGGGCCGATCTAGGAGTCCACGAGACACGGTGGCCAAAGTGTCAGGGCGCGGAGGCGGAGGCGGGAGCCGGGTCAAGGACGGGGCTGGGGTGGGGGAGGGCAGGGCCCGCGGCCGGGGCTCCGAGAGGAGGGCTCGCCGTCCGGCGCTGTCCTCGGGGAGGGGGTCGCCAGGGGCCCCGTCGCCATTTTCTGGGCGCCGAGACAAAGCCCCAGTCGGGGTGCAAGGCGGGCAAAAAGCGGGCCCCTGGGGGAGGTGGTCCAGGCGGGCAGCGGGCAGAGGCGCGCGCGGGGCAAGGGAGGACGGCGGCGGCGACGGATCTTACCGAAAGATTGGAGGTTCTGGATAGTGGACATGCGATACTAGTGTGAGGCCGGTGAGGGGATAAAATTCCTGCGGGGCCCGCCCGGATCACCGTGTCAGAAGTCTGCAGTGGCGAGAAAACGGAAATAAATACGGAAACGGTTCGCTCCGGGGTTGGGATGCGGCTGGAGTGGCGGCGGCGGAAGCCGGGAGGAGGCAGGAAGAGGCGAAGGAGGAGGCGGAGGAAGAGGCGGCGGCGACGGATGCGAGGACGCGAGAGAAGAGGCGGCGCTGCGGCTTCTCCCACAAAATGGCCGATGGAGACTATTTAGCCGCGCCCGCCGCTCCTCCCACGTGACCCTCCGCGCCGGGCATCCTGGGACTTGTAGTTTTCCGGAGGCAGCAGAGCCCGGAAAGCCCGAGGCCCGCGGGGTTTCGAGACCTCAATTCCCGTCAGGGAGTGCGCCCTCTAGCTCCGGGCGGAAGACCTGGGAAGGGTTCCGACGGCCGCCGGGCTGCCCAGAGTTTGAGGGTCTGGGTCTTTGCACCCCACGAGTTCGCAGGGGAGGACGGTCAAAGGAATCAAGCGTCTCCCTTGACTCCCCTTCTCTCGCCTTGCAGTCGCGAGGCCGAGGGGCCGTCGCTCAGGGGTAATCTCTATCAGTCACCCTCGAGGCCCCGGGTAATGTAAGTAAAATCGGGGTGCAGGAAGAAAACAAGTCCCCTTGCTCCGGCTTTCGACTCGTTGGCCGCCCCGCAGCACCACCTGCATTGAAATTCCAGCCCAGTTGCAGGAGCGGTGTTAGTCTTCACCAAGGATGGAGATGGGACCCTCTCTTTCCAGGATTGGGCGCACCTCCGATTCCCCAGCACGGTGGATCTCAGACTCCAGTGTGCGTGTCTGGAGGGCTTGAGAAAACACTGATAGACCCCAGAGTTTCTGTTTCAGGAAGTCTAGGGTGTGACCTGAGAATCTGCAATTCTCATAAGCTTCTCGGTGACGCTGATCCTGCTTGCTGGTCTGGGATCAGGCTTGAGAGTCACTGCCCGGCTTCATCATGTGCCTGGCATCTACTGGGGGCCAGGCGTGTGTGAACAGAACATACCAGAAATCAGTTTGTCAGTTCATTTTGTGTGCCTCAGAAGACCCAACACAGAATTCAGGAAAGATGCCAGGTATCAGCTGAAGGTGAGCTCAGCAAATAGGTTAATTGATGGAGTCATGTACGAGACCGTAATGTTGTATTTGACCGGAGTGTAGAAAGTTACCACAAGACAAAAGTATGCCAGATTGCAGGGTCATTTATTGTGCCAGCGACCACAGAGGACTCATGTCTCTCCAACCTGTGGGGCCAAAAGAAGGGTGCCATGATTTTTTATACCCGAAAAACCACCTTGGGAGTGGGGGTGAGGGGCGGGGATGGGGATGATAAGGTTTCGGACATTTCAAGGGCTAGGGGTTTCTGTGATTCACCTCCTGGGTGGAGATAAGGGCGGGGGTCTCCGGACATTTCAAGGGCTAGGGGATTCTGTGATTCACCTCAGTGGTTTACAGAAGTCAAGATATACATTTGTTTACACATCACAGATTGTAGCAGTTACTGATAAGAAAAGGTAAGCAGCTTTACATAGTTTTGAAGAACAAACTAGCAGTTCTATTTACAGAGGCCAAGGACAGTAGTTATTGTGAGGAGAATGGGGCAGCCATTTCAACTTATCTAAAAACAGTTTTGCATTTTATAAAATAGTTTTGCTCCGGTTCTGGCTCTAGGCCAGCACAATATCACAGTAATATCTTCCCATCAAGTCACGCACAGGGAAAGAAATAAACCCGAGACTTTGGGAATTGGCTCACTCAGGTAGGTGTTCAATTGTCACACTTGGTTGGCTTTCTGGAAGCAAAGAAATAGACTAAAATTTAGGCATTCTTAACTTTTATGTGTGTACCATGGCAGTCCTGTGAAACTGCTGAACCCCTTCTATGAATAATGAGAAGTTGTTTAAGCTTTAAGTTCATAAAGTACATAGGATTACAAAGGAAACCAATTATATTAAAATTAAAAAATACATACATAACATGTATCTTTGTATTAATACACTAACAAGATCTAGCAAGACCAGGTTTAACACTACAATTTCAAAAAGCTGATAAATGTTAGAGATATTTTTTGATGTCTGTAACGTCAGAAATCTAATATGAAAGTATGTGTGATTTCTGTTGGTGCAAAGTGACAGGTCCATCTAATACTATGATATTATCTCCTCCATTCATAATGGAGGGAAATGGTAAATTTTGCTTAGAGGTTAATGGAAATGTAGATGTAATATTTTTTTCCCATCCAGTTTTAGGGATCTCCACCCCTGCAGTTTTATCCATGGACCAAGGATCTGCAGACCCCATGTTAAGAATACCTGGATATACAGAATCTACACAGAACTAAAGCGGATTTACAAGAAAAAAACCAAACCCATTCAAAAATGGACGAAGGATATGAACAGACACTTTTCAGAAGAAGACATTTATGAGGCCAACAAACATATGAAAAAATGCTCATTACTGGTCGTTAGAGAAATGCAAATCAAAACCACATTAAGATACATTTCACTCCAGTTACAATGGCAATCATTAAAAAATCTGGAGACAACAGATGCTGGAGAGGATGTGGAGAAATAGGAACACTTTTACACTGTTGGTGAGAGTGTAAATTAGTTCAACCATTGTGGAAGACAGTGTGGCGATTCCTCAAGGATTTAGAAATAGAAATTCCATTTGACCCAGCAATCCCATTACTGGGTATATACCAAAAGGATTATAAATCAATCTATTATAAAGACACATGCACACATATGTTCATAGTGGCACTCTTTACAATAGCAAACACGTGGAACCAACCCAAATGCCCATCAATGATAGACTAGACAAAGAAAATAGTATACACCATGGAATACTATGCAGCCATAAAAAAGGATGAGTTCATGTCCTTTGTAGGGACATGGATGAATCTGGAAACCATCATTCTCAGCAAACTGACACAAGAACAGAAATCAAACTGCATGTTCTTATAGGCGGGTGTTGAATAAGAACACATGAGCACAGGGAGGGGAACATCACACACTGGCGTCTGTTGAGGGGTCGGGGGCTAGGGGAGGGATAACACTGGGAGAAATGACTGATGTAGGTGATGGGGGGATGGATGCAGCAAACCACAGAAGAGAAAGTCGTGAGCTAGGCCTGTTTCCTAATATCATACGCTTTACACTCTCCCATTTTCCTGGGAGAAGAGTAAGGAAGGTGGGTGAATGGGCTCTGTGTTTGTTAATAGTGATGATGATCAACATGATTATAATTAGCACATTATATGTGGAGTATCCACACAGTATAATATTGAGCAGAAACAAAAATTATGCATGTGTTAGAGTCAGTAGTTTTTCTTATTTTCAGAGAGCTGTTGAATTTAAAAGGAGAGTTAAACCAAGCCACATTTAATTATTATGCAAATATCAGAATAAGAAAGTTTCAAGGACCTGCAAGGTTGAAGACTAAATGGAGTTAAGAAAGACAAGACTAGAAAAAGTCTGGAACTTCTTAGAGATTACTTAGGTGGTTTTAACCAGAATAATGAAAGAAATATGGACAGTAAAGGCTATTCCGATGAGGTCTCAGATGGAACTGAAGAACAAGGTATTGGAAACTAGAGCAAAGGCGACCCTTGTTACAAAGTAGCAAATAACTGGGCTGAGCCCTGTCCATGCCCAAAGGCTTTATGAAAGGTACAATTTAAGAGTGAGGAACTAGGCTGTCTGGTAAAAGAAATCTCTAAACAGCAAGTCCTCCATGCTGCACATGGCTACTTTTGACTTCTTACAGTAAAATAAGACAGGAAAGAGATAATTTAAAGACAGAATTTATAATTTAAAGGCCGTATACATTCTGTCTTGCCTTTCTGCCTTCTATTATGGGATGATGCTGCAAAAAAGTCCTCAATCATATGCAAGCCCTTGGACTTCCCAACTTCCAGAACTGTGAGAAATGAATTTCTTTATAAAATAAATTACCCAGTTTGTGGTATTCTGTTGTAGTAACACAAAACAGACTAAGACACCTGTTCTGTGCTCTGGCCTGGGACACTCTTTCAAGACAGAAAGGCCAATTGCAGGGCTCACCTTAATTGTTTCCCATTGCTCAGCAATCACTGTCCTTCTTTGTTTCATGTGGAGTGTTTTGAAAACCTGTTTTCTTATATTTTGTCCTGCGATTTGGTTGTTTTAGGTGGAAGAGTAAATTCAGTCACTGTTACTTCATCTTGGTTGAATGCAAAGTTTCAATACATGTATTTTCAATGTGAGAATAAACTTCTCTTTGGCATCGATCATGAAGTTAAACCTTGAATTATGAATATATCTGACACTCAGGGAAAAAATTAACTTTTTTAGAGTGATGACCCTTCATCTACCAGTGGTGTGTCTGTCCATGCACACACACCCATCTATGCAAATTTTTTACCTACCAGAGGTGTAAATTTGTTATTGTGCTAAAAACCTTCACTTTAGAACACTTTTAGAAATATGTATCAGTGTTGTTTTATAGCAAGAAATCTTTGTATTGTTGTATGGCTAGGAAATAAACAAACCTGTAAATTGTGTAATTGTGTTCCTATTATATTAGTTTGCCCGTGTACTCATGTTTGTAATTGAAACCTGACAAATTTTCTTAGTAATTCCAAGTACTACATACGAAGTTAAAGTACTATGAATACTAGGTAAATATGAGTTGACCCACTTTATAGCTAAAAAGGTGAAACATTCTGAACTGAGATATACACTAAGCAAGCAAGGGGAATTGCTACTAATATTTTGTATTCTCCACTGTGGGATGGGAAAAGTTCCAAGCATTTTATATTATTTATTTACTCTTCATAACAATTTTGTAAGTGGAGTTCATTGTCCCGTTTTACAGATGAGAAAAATGAGACACCCAGAAAGTTTATTACTTGCTTAGGAATATACAGCAAGCGTCATCGCTAGGATTTGAACTCAGGTATGTCTGCCTCCAAATTTCATGGTTTTTTTCCTCATGTTATAATTCCCTTATGGAGGTAAAGCGTACCATTCGAGTTATTACATTTAGTGGTGTTTTCACAGGGAAAGAATGAGTAAGTCTGGTCAATTGGTGACATTCAAGACATGGACCAGTAAAATACAATTTCAGTGGTTACTGATTAAAGGCCTATAGTCACTCATGAAAAGAAGTCACTAAATCTTGTGTGCAGTATACTAAAGCTAATTTATCATAATCATAGAGTTTAGTTCATAGCAAAGTATAAAATCATAGTGATTCAATTAAAGTGATTGCATCTCCCTTATTTTCATCATAGTCAAGGTAGTAGTCCCTAACCTTACCCAAGCACTGAAACAGTCCAGAAATTCCTCCCTAAGTGAAGAGTATGAATAAGTCCATTGACTCAGTTACAACTTCAGTCAACTTTTATTGAGGGCCTGCAGTGTGCTTCGCATTCTTCCAAGTGCTGTGATGAGGTATATATGTTTGAATTGGTTAGAAAATAATTCAATATGTGCTATAGATCAAAGGTTGAAACTACAGGTCTACCCATTGTTTTTAGAAAGGTGAATTAGTTGTGTGTTTCATATAAAAATTCAGGTTCATTTCTTTTTTTTTTTTTTTTTTGAGACAGAGTCTTACTCTGTCGCCAGGCGCCAGGCTGGAGTGCAGTGGCACAATCTCAGCTCACTGCAACCTCTGCCTCCCAGGTTCAAGCAATTCTTCTGCCTCAGTCTCCCAAGTAGCTGGACTACAGGCACACGCCACCATGCCCAGCTAGTTTTTGTATTTTTAGTAGAGACGGGGTTTCACCATATTGGCCAGGATGGTCTTGATCTCTTGACCTCGTGATCCGCCCGCCTTGGCTTCCCAAAGTGCTGGGATTACAGGCTTAAGCCACCATGCCCGGCCTATTTATTTTTTAAGAAAAAAAAAACTAACTTTCCAGCTTATCTTTAAAAAATTAAGAAGAGCTGGTAGCAATTGCTCTACCTTAGATAAGGAATGGGTTCTTTAATTTGTCACAATATGTACTATGTATTATTGGCTCTTTGACATGTAAACTAAGTATCAATTGTCATTGCAATTGTCACTGTCGATTATCAAGAATATTGCCTAACTGCTGATGGCATTTGGTTCATAGCCTCTCGCTGTAGATTTAGAGAAGGCATTATTGATGCTTTTAATGCATTTTGTTTATCTCAGAATTTCTTGAGAGTTAAGGGGGGAAGAAAAGAAATAAATGGATTGTAGAACATAAGACCAACTTTGGAAGAGAATCTATAGTTGGATAATAAAACTAGATGTTGAAAGGGAAGTATTGATCAGAGGAGGATTTCAGAAAAGAAGTGTATGGAAGAAGGAATGGGTAACAAGATCAGTAGAAAGAAAATTAATTATTTTGGTAAAGATAGATGAAAGAAAGAACAAAGAAATGGAAAGCAAAGGGAGAAAAAAGGGGAGAAAGAACAGGGAGAAAAAAGCAGGAAAGATTTTCTGTGGAAAGAATTGCATCCCCATGACAACAAAGACAAGGAAAGTCAAGAGCATAGTGAACAGTTAACTCAGTAGCGTTTAGGTCTTGGTCAAATAGAGGCTCACACATTGTTTTTTTTTTTTTTTTAAAGATGTTGGAAACGGGTTTATAACGTTGGGAAGAATCCACACTGAGACAATGGATCACTCCTCAGCAAGTAATTAACAATAGTTTACTTCCTGCAGGAAGGGTGCAACTCGCCAGCAGTCTTGCCATGAGAGCACACCTGAACAACGGAGACAGGGACATTTGTAACTTTCATAACCTGACACAATCTCCTACTGCTGTGTCCAGTTTCCATTGGCCAGAACGGGACCTCACATTCTACGCTTGACCGGATTGGTTAAAAACTTAGAAATTTTCTAAAGTGGTAAAGGCAGAGGAGAACAAAGGAAAAGAGGAAGTCACTTGAGGAATGCTTAGAGAGGCGATAACATTTCCACATAAGGAAGGGGAATAAGCTATGACCTGAGACTTGCCTGGGCTTGTCCAGACATGTCAGGGCGAATATCTAGGTTAAAGTGTAAGAACATGGAATGCACTTATTTCTTTACTGTGACTAACAGCCACTTCAAGATTATTAGCAAAAGCTTTAAAGTAAATTAACCTTTGAAGAAACTGTTATTTATTTGTAATGAACTAGGAGGAAAGCTTTGAAGAGAAACTATTTATTTATTCTTATTTCCTACAAAAGTAGACTAGCTGTCATATTTCATATGAAAGTCCAGATTTCTGTTTTAAGAAAAATCTAAATTTCTAGCTTGTATAAATATGTGTGTATATACATATATATATATAGAGAGAGAGATAGGGTCTCACTCTACCATCCAAGCTGGAGTGCAGTGGTGCAATAATAGCTCACTCTAACCTTGAACTACTGGGCTCAAGTGATTCTTCCACCTTTGCCTCCTAAGCAGCTAGAACTACTGGTGTGTGTCACCAT